CGGCTTTGCTCCCGGTGCCTCTGGTCTGCTGGGGACCATCTCCAGCAGACCAGGGACACCGGGAGCAAAGGAGGCGGAGGGGCGCTGGGGTATAAGATGAAACCCTATCTTTTAATTAAAAAGATAGGGGGTCGTCTTATATGCCCAGTCGCCCTATACGCCGGAAAATACGGTACTGAGACCGGGTGGCTAACCACTCCTGGTAAACAGCTGTACAGAGGTATGACAATATCAGTAACTGCGAGCTGCGCTTTAGGGCTGAAGGACGCCCCCAGGCAAAGCTAGATTGTCCCTCTAGTTTGGCCCCGTCTGGGGATTCTCTCCTAACTGGGACTCCATAAGCAGCTGAGCCTGGCACCTTCAAACCAGCCGCCCTAACGACACCAACGGCCGCAGAACGGTCTATAAGACTGACAAGCGCTTCTGCCAACAGCGGTAGGAGCGTAAATTCGACCACGCGGCGTGCAGGCGTCGGATGAATGGGAGCATTTGATCAGCGTTCCTCTGTTCCAATCAGAAGGCAGTCGGCATAGGCCCGTAAATTCGGGGCGGAGTGCCGAAGCGCTGTCCAATGAAAGAGGACTTTGTTTTTGAGGGCGAGGCATCTCAGCCAATGGCGAAGTCGTGGGGGCGGGTAGTGTTACGGGCGTGGGTGAGCGGCGGCCCGGAAAGCTTAGTCTGCTTTGGGACACCACCCCGCAGCATGGAGGCGCAAGGAACTCTCCCGAGTAGCGGTCTCCTCTATTGGGTGGGGGTGCTGAGTGCCGTGTACATCACCGCGCGGGCCGCCTACTGTCTGTTGGCCGGGCTGCGCGTCTGGGTGCTGGGCCGCCCGGTTGTGCTGGGCCCGGGGCTCGGTGCCTGGGCAGGTGAGTGCGCTGCTCTGGGGTTGCCCTTGTTTGAGGTGCCCCTTGTCCCGTCGAGACCTGGGGCTCCCTCTTCAGCAAGTGGTGTCTCCTGGGGGCCTCTTTCGGTTTCCCCCGGGCCGCCTACTGTCTGTTGGCCGGGCTGCGCGTCTGGGTGCTGGGCCGCCCGGTTGTGCTGGGCCCGGGGCTCGGTGCCTGGGCAGGTGAGTGCGCTGCTCTGGGGTTGCCCTTGTTTGAGGTGCCCCTTGTCCCGTCGAGACCTGGGGCTCCCTCTTCAGCAAGTGGTGTCTCCTGGGGGCCTCTTTCGGTTTCCCCTTCCCTTTACTGGGGCCTTCCCGCTGGGACCCCCACGTGGCTGGCACTGTCCCAGGCAGCCGTCTCCCCACTCTCCCTATGGGGGTGGGAGCGAGGCGCGCAGAGTCTCTTCCGTGTTCCCGGCACAAGTCCCTGTCCCGGGGAGAGGCGCGAGCCGGGACCGGAGATTTGCCTTTTCCTAGTCTCCCCCAGCCCTGCATGGGGCTAGCCCGGCCTCCCCTTCAGGCCCCACCATACTTC